TGCATAATATGTGATTAATACAAAAACTGTTTAATAAAAAAAAAAAATTTGCGTTGTCTTAACGTCCTGAAATTCGGGCGGCATAACGTTAAATTCGTTAAATAAGTCATTAAATTCAAGATCACGTAACTTTTCCCTCCTCTGCAGCTGTCAGTCATTCTCCATCAGTGTTCAAACAGCGCGTCGCGTTCGGATCATGGTTCGGATACAGTCAATGATGGTGAAACTATGTTCAAGATGATTCAATGTTAATACTATTATACTTGATCTGTAGATAAAAGTCTATGGTTTCGAATAAAGAAACTTTATCTATTATCTTGCTGGACTTAATCATGTTACTTTCTACCGGGTGTCGGACACTGTGTGAGTCAGAGCACTATAATTGTTCTTCACGCACACAGTAACTGATATTTAAAACTGTTAAAAGAAAAGGCTCAATAAACGATTGCATAGATATATACTGTATAATACCCGTCACTGTCCAGTGCCCATCAATATGTATTTCCTTTGTCCAGTGCCCATTAATATGTATTTTTTTCCTTATTGTGCTTTGAACTTCTCAATGAATGTGGACTCGACGCGCTGCGTGCTATAACTCCATGTGGCTTCAAGCGCATCATTCTGCGCTCGTGATGTGCATAAGCGCTTTGTGCCGCACTGTATTGGAGTCTGTCATATCATAATGCAGTGATGCAATGAAAGCTAATTAATAGCCTTTCTTGTTCTGTCCTATCTATCTATCATATGTTGCTGCCTCATTAAACACCTGTGCTATACATTTAAAACATGACTCAATTTTATAGTAGCCTTGGCTATATCTAAAATAATAATCTTTTGATTTTTGTCACGGAATCTTGTTTTTCATGAATGTATTTTACAACAATACAAAGAGCAATGTGTATTATTCACTAATCTAGTTTATGATAGCATTTGTCATAGATTATGATAATATATTTTTTTGGATTTGTTGTTTATCTTTATAATGAAGTTGTCTGTATTAAGTAGATTGTGATTAACACAAACAAGAGTGATTATTAGTTCAACACAGAGTTATAGAAATTCTATTTGATTAAAAAAAAAAACTGCGCTGGTATCGGTCGATACTCAGAATTTTTGGGATCGGATCGATTCTGAAAAAGATGCTATCGGTGCATCCCAATGTAACATTTACTATGTTCACTTACTATTACTAAGATAATTAATATCTTTATATTGGGAGATCAGCGCCAGCTAGCATGCTAAAGACGCCAGGCAGTACGGTCACTCGCAGACTTTTTCAGGAATACATAGCAGGGCTCCAGACTAACTTTTTTCACCTCCGTCCTGAAACCGTCCTGAATGACAATTTGAACCGTCCTAAAGTGAATGTCAACCGTCCCAAAATAAAAATGTTGTTTCTGTACCTGCTGTTATCATCCCTAGCTGTTAGTTAACTAAAACAATTCAGATGACTATATTGGGTTTAGTTCAACTGTAATGCATTAATTTAGAACTTAGAATTTCTCTAAAATTTCCAAACCTACATACTTGCAGAGAAAAAAAAATCTATTAAGCAGTTAATATGAATGATTTTAAAGTTTGAACATGCAATACAGATACAGATAAAGATACTAATAAAGAGAAAAGTTTTTGAAGGTCTAACACTATATTCATAGACAGAAACTGAATAAAGTAATCAAATGGAAAATAACACTGGATATTATTTTAGTCCAGAATAAATTAAATAGGCCTACATAGGCTATCAATCCTGATCGCTTTAACTTCCTTAAACTTGTTGTTTTGACGACAAAATTTGACCGACATATATATGGTTGCTGTCTCTTTAAGAGCTAGGGCACGGATACTGTGTTCATTATACTGGCATGCGTTTTATGCTTATTAAAGACAAAACCGACTATATTTAGACTATTGTACTCCCGAAGACTGAAATTGACACAGTTTTGAGTGTTAAATGCAATATAATCCGTGAAAAATAACTTTTGTTACTGGCCAGCTGTTCTTGAGGCGGATTTTCTATGAATGTCCGCATAGTCATCCCAGAGAGCGCGCGAGCACTGATTAGTTTAAAATCGCCTGAATGTTTAAAGGTGCATTGCGCAACATTTCATGTTAAAAATAGCCGTTTTCTAACCCATACATGCTTAAACAATCGCCTGATGAGCTGAATGAGCCCTTCTCTGATCACTGAGATCGCCTCTATAATCCTGTACAGTGAAATATATAAGTGGGATTCGGGCTCGAATCTGAGACTGGGCGTGACGTCATGTGCGTTCATGCTCGCCTGGCTATGTCTGGCAGGTTCGTGTAGCTATTCGCCGCCGTTCTCCGTATCAGAGAAGACAACTCGAGCGACACAACTCTAGTCAGCTTTCCACAAAAGTAGACGATGGATTCAAAGGGGCTGTTTACACCTGGTCACTTCAGGTGTTTTCTGTGATCGGATGGCTATTCGATCGTGAAAAGACCAGGGTGTAAATGCCCTCCGAAACGCGTTAGAGACGGATGAATCCGATCGCTCAAACCACTTGAGGACGTGGTCTGGGCCGCATTCCACACGAAACTGGACAAGTGTAAATGCATCTGGTTGTTGAAACCAAGCTATATGTCATGTTATTTTAGTCATATGTCGACGCGCATCACCTCAGATGAGCAGCTGAGCTGAGCAAGCCAGCGCGCCGCAATCTATCGCAAATCAAAGTGAAAGTAAGTCGCAGACGCTTAACACTACCATCTTCATTAAAAGTAAAGAAATGAATTGATCTTACCAGGCCTGTTGCCGATCTCTCTTATTGCTGTCTTTGCTGATTTTGAAATTAGCCGATGATTAATAAAATCCAGCTCATATCTGTTGCTTTCGGTGACGTGCACTTCATATCTGTATATGGCGCGGAAAGAGACCGGCTTGTGGTTCATTACAAACCCCAACGCAAACTCCGCGTGAGACAAAGAAAATAAAACTTCAGTCTGTCCAGTGCCAGGCGTGGGAATAAGACGAGAGTCAACATCGGGAAGGCTTTCAACAAACGGAGAGATCTCCGGTCTGCTCTAGGGCTCAAACGGGTCCTATACAAAGTGATAACTGAACGTGTTTCCATAATAATTCAATCATAAGTGGATACAGTAAGCACAGGGAGATAGATGGAAACAAAAACCGAAGTTTTCTACTACCCCCGTTTCCCCCTCTCACACACATAAGTGTGTAATTTACTCGAATGCCTTTCCTTTCATATATTTTAAATGACTTGCAGATTAATTACTGTATTACCTCATTATGACTGTAGCAAAAGATGTGTGCCGCACAGTGTGCGGCTGATGCTCCTTAGGTTATGAACAGCTCGTGCAAACGTGCGTGTGTGTGTGTTCCTCCATGAACGCGCACAGCTCTGGTTGCAGTTTCGCTTGTCGCCAGAGGGGGCGTAGTTCTGCAAAAACGCAGAGACTTGCGTTTAGCTCCTTTAAACTGGTAAGACTTAAAAAGACGTGCAAATGGTAAACTTCATTCACGATGCACTGCTTGCCCGATTGTGCGAGTGAATATTCCGTCATGTCCCACTCCTGAACGCGAGTGTGTATTCTCGCAGCAGTGACTGATGCTTGCCTTCCACAACATTTTGAGAGAAGAGAAGACGCGCTGAACACTCGTGCTGACCGCCGACACACCGCTGAACACCCGCGCTGTTTGTGAAATTGCGTCTGGCATTTTATAATCTTTGTGGATTACGATTGCGGGAATATCCCGCATTATAATTAGGAGACCTGTGTGGAATGATTAGAATTATGCGCAATACCCGCGCCGAAATTCGAGCCCTGTGAACTCCCATGCAAAATGTCTTTCGTCCTGTAGGCGTCCTGGAGAATATTTCTGTTCGTCCTAAACACATTTTCTATCGTCCCCAGGACGATAGGACGCCGTTAGTCTCGAGCCCTGCATAGTCATGGAAATGTGCCGAAAAGTCATGGAAAAGTATTGGTTAAAATGTGTATGAACCCTGGATTTAAACTTTGCTTAAATTATATAGAAAGCAAAGAAAGCACGTTCCTTTACAATCACTGGAGCTGTCAATCAAACTGCTGTGCTGAAGCTATCAAACAGTGTGAGTTTATCAGTGACTGGGTTCTGGACTGTCATCAAAACTCCCGTTAGAATCAACAAATCTCTTATTTACATTGTTTTCACTATTAGTTATGATGAAATCAAATCATTCATTAGTGTGCAGAAATCAATTTACAATGAAGAGATCACTGCATTCATTCGTTCAATATGTCGGTGATTGGCTACAATGCTCATCGCTGCAACCTTTCATGCCACAATCTAAATATAATGCTATAGTCAACCCTTTTCATGATTAGTTAAAGGGATACTCCACTTTTTTTTTTCTCAGATTAAACTGTTATTCCCTTAACTAAGACGAGTTGATGCGTACCTTAACAAAGCAGCGACCAAACACCTCCACATTTTCCCTATTTAAATACAGTTAGACGAGTAGAGAAACTCGACCAAGAATGGTGACACAAAATAAAACATTGCACTTTCCTAAGTGTGTAAAGTGGATAACTATAATGTATGGCGGAATACCACAGCAAGTGCTTGGGAGCACTTCGACTCGGCGCCGTATATCATCACTTGTGAAAAATCGAGTGAAAACCTGAAGCACAAAGAAATCTATTACAGTAGTGTTCTCATTATAATGTTATACATATGATATATTGATGGCGCTGCACATTTTGCACTTAACTGTATTTTCGTTATTAAAGTAATTCCATGGCATAGTGTCAATTTTTTTGCCGGTCTGGATTGCATGCTGTCCTAACGCTAACCAATCAGACATTAGGAACCACCTAAAATGCTGTAAAAGCCTATCAGAAAAATCTGAGTACTTGTGCACATCCCTAATAAATGTTAATGCTAATAAGGTGACTAACTTTTGCATTATCTCTGAGATTATTAGTTATGCATTACATGTTATTCTCAGCTGTTTCTTGCCATATTTGTCTCACAGTATGAATCTACGGGAAGTGCTGAAAAAGTATGGTAAAGACGTGGGGCTACACATCAAGGCAGTGCGTTCCTACAGTCAGCAGCTCTTTTTGGCCCTCAAACTACTGAAACGCTGCAACATCCTCCATGCTGACATCAAACCAGACAACATACTGGTTAGCATCATTTTTATATGGCCCCTGACTCCAAAGACCTCATTCTTTCATTCACTCACTCACTCACTCAACTCTGTCTGCAGGTGAACGAGTCGAAGACAATTCTTAAACTCTGTGATTTCGGCTCTGCATCCCATGTTGCCGACAATGAAATCACTCCCTACCTAGTCAGCAGATTCTACAGGGCACCTGAAATTGGTAAGTTCCACTGTAATATTGTGATTGCAGCAGAACATGTGAACCATTTCTGTTTGGACCTAGTAATTGGATCTAACTTCTCTCTTCCTTACTAGTCATTGGTAAACCATATGATTATGGCATTGATATGTGGTCAGTCGGCTGTACCCTGTATGAGCTGTACGCAGGGAAGATCTTGTTCCCTGGTGGATCCAACAACCACATGCTGAAACTGGCCATGGATTTGAAGGGCAAGATGCCAAACAAGGTACTTTACACTGAGAGCCCAGTTTTTCATAACTATAAAAAAAGAGAGAGAGGTTATCCTACTGCTCATAAAACATTCAGTACTAGAGATATAATTAGTTTAGATGGAAAGCATCTCATGCTGAGTAGCCATTACTGTAGCCATACCTATTAGGGCTGTCAAAATTGCTCAAATTACGTTAGAATATTCCCTCAAAAAAACACGCATATATTCGAACTATTCGAATATCTGGTTGCGCATTTTTTTCAATGACGCGCATTACGTCAATAACAGGACAAATTAATACAAAGAGACATAACTACTTGTATAGGTAGTTTATTTAATTGTAAACATATTAAACAACGTATTACCTACACCAAAAAGTAAAACAAAATAACGGCCAAGACTGCAAACCTCACTATCGAGCGCAATAGGCCTAGTATCTAATTAGTCAGTACAGGCTGTTTCTGTTTAAAGTTAAATAAAATGAGGCACACAATTCACACAGTTGGCACACAAATGTGACAACGCCTTTACCCTGAGGTTCATAAAAAATAAAGTGCTATTAAAAGCGAAAAAAGCTACTTACATTATTGGTGCTTGAAGGAAAAAAAAGGGGGAAAAAAATGACGGCAATTTATTCCACTTTAGTGCGCACTGTCTAAAATGCCCATCAGGTCTACAGGTTATTTGCCAAAAACACAAGACAGTCCACATTTGAAGGGGCCAGTGCTGATCTCTTTTTATTTACTATATTCCCTGCGGAGGAAAAGACCCGTTCAGAGCGCACTGAGGATCCGGGGATGGAAAGATATTTCTTTGCCATCTGGGCGATGTGAGGGTATCTCCCAGAGCCCAAAGTTTTCCACCACATGAGAGGATTTTGTTGAGCAGGCATTGGAGATTCTTGTTCATACATCAACATCTCTTTTTGAAGCAGCAAACTGATGTCCTGGTCTGGGCTGTCTGCGCAATACGTGTCTCCGAAGAGACATCCCATAGCAGATAACGCAGTTTTCTCCGCGGGCTGCCGATTACGTGTCTGTCCGGCAGCGGCCTCACTGCCTGTGCCTCCTGTCACATTCACTTCTCTCATCTCGTCCAGTATAGCCACCTGCACCTGCCGTCTCTGCTCATCTTTCAAATGAACGAGGCGATGAAAGCGTGGATCCAGGTAACTCGCTTTGTTAAGCAGCATAAATGCGCCCTTTTCCTCTCTAAAGCTTCTCCAGATCTGTGACGATCTTTGTCTTCATCTCTGACAATGCAGGTGGTTCTGGTTCGTCTGGCGTTCGCTTGTTAAGTTGAGCGAGCAGAACATGTATTAAAGGCAGTACAGCCGACGCTTTTGCATATTTGTCAGTTGAAAGTACTTTGGTTGCCACTTTAAATGGTTTAAGGACCTCTTGCACCTGCGATAAATAAGTAAATATAATGCGTTGATATTAGGCCCGGTTTGCATTTGTTCAGCTGATTAACATTAACGCAAAGTAAATTAGGGCCATCATTCTACCTTAAATATATTAGGACAGTTTTGTATTTGTCCAGTCTATTATGGTAAATATTTCATACACTATGCTCACCTTTTCCATTAGGGACCATTCGCTTGTGGTCAGCTCCATTCTTGACAGTTTTTTCTCGAAGATGACCGCAGACACAGCTGCTTGCTGCACGGCAGATCATTTCATATGTGCTGTTCCATCGCGTTGGAGAGTCGTTAATCAGCTTCTCAGTTTTCAATCCCAAAAGTTGTTGTTTCTGCTGAAGGAGGTAGCTGTCGGCGGAAGATTTGCTGAAATGCGAGGCCGCCACTTTCAGCCTACTAAAGGGGATTTCAATGGCTCTGACCCCGAGCCCTTTACGCACAGTCAAGTTTATTGTGTGTGCAACACATGGTATATTTACTGTTTGAAGATGTCTCTCCACTGCATTGACGTAATTAGTGGCATTGTCCGTTGTGATGGCAATCACGGATCCCCTTTCTATGCCAAAAAAGTCCAAGATCTCTTGAATACATTCGCCAACATTCTCTGCTGTGTGGCTTACTGTTAGCTCTTTTGTTTTTAGCACATTGTTAAGCATTTCCCAGTCATCATTAATCCAATGGGCCTTTGCTGTAACATAGGATGCTGTTGCTAGAGATGTCCACCGGTCCGTGGTAAGAGCCACATATTTGTCTTTGATTGATTCCTTTATTTTGTCAACGGTGCTGCTATACACTTCTAAAATTCTATGGGTGACTGTTCCACGGCTAGGGATACGGTACCTCGGTTCCATTGATTGACAGAACTCGCTGAAGCCTGCCCCATCCACGACACTGATCGGTCTCATGTCCTTACATATAATCAACTGAACTTTCAGCAGTGAGTGATGCTGTGCCAGTGAGACTCCTGTGACCTGTCGCTGAACCCTAATCAGGCAGCGTGCACGCCCACTCGCAAAGCAGACAGCCGGGCGCGGGCGTTTTTTTTTTTTTAATTCGAATATTAATTTTCCCCTTCAAATTCCTATTTTTTAAAACTATTCGAGTATATATTCGAATTTAGAATATTCGTTGACAGCCCTAATACCTATTAACTCTTTCCCCTCCATTGACGGATTTTTCCAGCAATCCATGCAGGGCTTAAATTATTCCGGCACCGTGCCGGATCTCCGGTGTGTAGTCGTGAGGAAAAATTGAAAATTGATTTCACCTACCAATCATATTGATTTCACCTACCAATCATAGAGAGGATTGCAGCTCTAACTAACGTCAGAAGCAGAGCAGATCCTCACAACTAGTGATGGGATTTATGGCTCTTTGAGGGGATCCGGATCTTGGCGATCCGTTCCTTTCAAAGAGTCAATTCAAGTCACATTTATTTATATAGCGCTTTTCACAATACAGATTGTATCAAAGCAGCTTCACAGTGATAACATGAAAGTAGTACAACACAGATCAACAACATTGCTAAACACTAAATAACCCCAACTGAGCAAGCTCAAAGCAAGCCAAAAGCAAGGCGACAGTGGCAAGTGGCAAGAGCTGTGGCAAGTGGCAAGGCGACAGTGGCAGTGGCAAGAGCTGTTCAAAAGAATGGCTCTTTTGGCTCTTTATAAATATTTAGTATAATCACTGGGAGGAATGATGAGGTGAGATTTGTAGTCAAATAATTAACTCAGATATCACACATCAATATTTGAGTTTGAATTATTCTGAAATATTGATTATTACCTCATTTGTCATGTGTGTGGACTATTCCATAGGGTTGCACAACATCCCTCTGCTTAGAAAGTGACATCACTATTTTGGATTTACCTTTAGTATAAGGTGTGTGTATGTGTAAAGCTGTTGACTTATGTTATTCATCCAATACCACAAGAACATTTTGATAAAAAAAAACAAATATTTAAAGTTGTAAATCCAATAACATGAACACAAAATGCAATGTAAATAAATACAAGCAGTTCCTTTACTTTTTTTTTTTTAAACTGGAGTAACCATGTGATGGCAGCGTGCACAAGTTTTGGCTCTGCTCCCAATGATGTTACGTAGGGTTATAAAAGATAACGTAAGAGTAAAAGATGCATGCCCTTGCACAACTATCACAACTATCACCCCTGCGCTGGGTGCGCGGAGGTAATTTGTGTGCATCGGTGTAAAACACGCATAGGAAAAAAAGAACGACAGAAAGAACGGCTCCCCTCCCGCCGCGACTCGGCTCCCATCGTTCATGTTTATGAGCCGTTCAAAAGAATCGGTTCGTTCGCGAACGTCACAACTCTACTTACAACACTGTGATTTGAGATCCATACGTCACAGTGTCATCGGCGAAAGCATGTACTGCAAGTTCATAAAGTAGGGCCCTGTGATTTCCACGATCACGGAATAGCGAATGGAATTGGCCAATTAACGCAGAATATTGTGTTAATGTGGAATTTCGTGGAATTTTACATATTTGGTTTGAAATTCTGTTTTTGTGTGGGAGAAGAACGTATGTCTGGTGAAAATGCAGACCAGGGGAAGCAAATCTGGGCGACCCAAACCCTTCAACCCGTCATTTCAGCTGCAATGACGAAATCAAAACAATGAAAGCATGGCGAAGCGGCTCTCCACGGCTCTCCTTTCGTGGGTTAAGAAACTCGACGCTATAAGCCGTCAGTGCCAAGCCGAAAAGTTCGCACGTGACTAGAGGTCGACCGATTAATCGGTCGGACGATTAATCGGCCGATTTTTGGCGTTTTTTTTTTTTTTTACATAATCAGCATCGGCCAATATCCCAGTATATCAAGCCGATTATTAGACAGGCGCATCTGTGGGCAGCCTTGTGTTGTCGTGGAACACCCGCTGCTGCAATAATATAATATAAATATATAATATGTATGATATGGGTATAATATGAAGCCATACTATAGTATAATGTGACATAGAAATTAATATTTGAGTCATTCAATTCAAGTTTACGTAAACTTTTCCCTCCGCCGCCGCTGTCAGTAATTCTCCATTTAGCATTCAAACAAACAGTTACAGCGCGTCGACTCGTCATTCTCTATTCAGCAAACAGCACAGCGCGTCGCGTTGAAAAGATGAAACTCTCTCCAAGATGATTAAATGTTAACATTATACTTAATCTGTAGATAAAGCTCTTTGGTTTCGCATAAATTGACTATCTTGCAGTAGTACCTCAATCATGTTCTTTTACCGCGTGTCTATCACAACATTGGAGAGCACTATTGTTCTTCACGCGCACAGTAACTGAAATGTAAAACTGTTAAAAGAAAAGGCTCAATAAACTATTGCATAGATAGATAATGTATAATTATCTAATAGATAGATAACTCTATAATACACTATGCATCTATGCATTTCCTTCGTGCTTTGAACTTTTCAATGCGTAACTTAGTCTAAATAGAGCTGCACGCTGTGACTCATGTTGCCTCAAGCGCATCATTCAGCGTTCAGGATGCGCATAAGTGCATTACTATTGCTCTATTGGGGTCTTTCATAATCATATCATAATACTTTTGCGGAAAATAAAAGA